ATTTGACAGCTAAAGCTGTTTTTTTATACTAAAAATAATTATGACATTACAGGTTGATGCATGTCAGCCGGGTCAAGATATGGTTATGGCAGCTGATGTGAAGCCCAGTACAAGTAACGCTGCAAACACCTTACAAAGTGCCATCGATCGACGACCACTTTCCAGCAAAGGTCAGGTTTTTTTCTTTCAGTTTTTTTTTCAGGAATCAGTGAAGCGCATAATGGAATGGTATCCACGCACTGGAGGCCACCAACGAGTTGGGGGGATCCCAACAGTTTTTTTACTGTAGAAAGTTATTTTACTTAAGTAGCAGTTATTTTGCTGTAGAAAAGTCTACTTGGAACCCCCCTGTAACTTCCCTCCCCCACCCCCGCTTCTCCGCTCAGGAGCCTTCGAGGGAGGGGGTGTAGTGATGAAGGAAGAAGGCGAAGCAAAAAATCGCCTCCCCCCCTCCCAGTAGGAGATCACCCTGGATCCGTCTATGGTTTTGTAGGGTCTTGGCACATCTATGCGCTTTCCAAACGCACATTTTCAACCTGTTCTAGTAGTAGTTGCCTCGGATTTTTGGGAATAAGAATGCGCCATTTCAGTGCCCCCATAACTATGTGTAAAAGGGAGTCCAGGAGAGCGGGAGTTTTATGCAGCGGCGGCAAAAACAAACTGAGATGGTGTTGTTTTGCAGATGGTAACAATGTTTCGAAGTCATCATGCAAACGCAAGCCAGCCCTACCAAGAAAGCGACCGAGCACCATGCACGACGTAAGCCTCTGAGTCATTATTTTGCGTCTCGGCTAATTCAAACATTTCATTTGTGCGTATTTCAAAAGAGAATCATGTTCAATTCATACATATATGTATGTATTTTGTGTGTATGTGTGTGTTTGTGTGTGTGTGTGTGTGTATGTGTGTACATATAGGTGAATGACTATTTTTAATGTGCATATGTATATATGTATATGTATGTACTTATGTCTGTATATGTATGTATGTATGTGTGTATGTATGTATGTATGTAATGTATGTACGTATGTATGTATGCATGTAATGTATGTATGTATGTATGTATGTATGTATGTATGTATGTATGTATGTATGTATGTATGTA